GGCCTTGGTAAAATGTCTTTCTCCACCTTTCTCATAAGTCCCCTTTTTATACTAGAAGGCCACTATAAGGTCTCCCTGGAGCCTTCTCTTCTCCAGGCTGAACAACCCCAACTCTCAGCCTTTCTTCATAGGAGAAATGGAAAACCTCACTGCTTTCTAGTTTCTAGGATATACAGAACATATTTTTTTCCTCAAAAGAATTAAAATAACAGATCCTTATAACACACTTCAACGCTACCTTTCATTTCTTCTCCCCATAACTTGTCCTCATGTGGAGCTGGCCTCCATACAGTTCCGAATATGTCCTAAAATATACATTGGATCTTGAATCACTTACATCTGTGAAACATTGCAGGATGTCATCTCTGTGAAAACTATACACGAGCTGTTACATGCATAAGAATTGTTACAGATCCACCAATCACGGTGAGGCGCTAACAGTAACTTTTGATCCCAAATTCATTATCCTTATTGTCACATATATCTGTATACAAATGCAAGCTAGCTCAGTTACCAGTGGCTTCATTTTGTTCAGGTCATACTTTATCACAAATTCATTACTGCAAGTAAATATGGACTAGTTAAATAATGCACATAAATTACTGTTACCTCATGTGTCATGTTCTCTGGATTTTTTTCTTTTCTAAGTATTCCTATTAAAAATAATATAATAAGAGCTATTCTTAAAATCCGGTAACATGTAACAATATTTCTGTTTTAAACAACAGCATTTCATCATTGTGTTTTTACAGCAAGCAAGCATATGCCCATGTAAAAGAATTCTGTAAAAACTGAAATTGAAAATGCAGAAAACAGATAAAGAATGGTCAAAATAAATCCATTAATCAATTTGTTAAAAGTCACATTCACTTGTATGGGGCTTAACTTCATAGCAACAAAAGAAGAATTGATTTGAAATCATTCTCTGAAAATTTGAGGTGCAAACAGACTTCAGCTATCAGAATTCTACCATCAGCAAATAACAGCAAAACATTATTTTGCATATGCTGTGGATGAGTTTTGAAAACTGCATTTATTTTTTAACAAGTCAGTATTTAAGCCCACAGTATTAAAAAAAGCAGGGTTATGGTTAAGCACAGGGCTGGGTATTAGATGATTTAGATTCTAGTCTTGGCTCTCTCTCTGACCTCCCCTATGAGATATTCACAATTATTTTTTCAGAGGTGACACCTAATTTTGGATAACCCAGCTTTGCCTGACAGACTTTAATACCTGGAACCCAGTTTTCAGAAAATGGTTTCAGTGACTTCAGCTGGTATAAAAAGAATTCAGTATCTCTGGAAATCAGATTCCTGAAACTCTGAATTTCCACTGGTTGCCATTTATATCTCTACAAAGTGTCCACAAAATGTCACCAGTGACATAAGTGGATAATTCAGATTTATTAATACTTTGCATCTGCTGCACATGCCTAAACAACTATACAACATTCAGGGCAATGGAGAGCAGGGTCCAGAGCATCCAGAGGCTTGCCATGAGTGAGGTGTCCAAAGTCCAACACACCTCATCTGCACATGCTTCAGCTTAGGTCATCAGAAATTAAAGTGTTTCAAATAAGAAGCCATAGCTGAAAAGGCAAATTTTATTTACCATAAAACTATTTGTGGCCCCTAACTTTCCGTGAAATCAACATAAGTATATGCCCTGCAGGGATATGCACCTTTGTGACAAAGCATCATCACATACACAGTGATCAAAATACATTATGATTTCCAATGTCTGAACTCTATATTGTGTTTTAAAAATTCTGAATGGCAAATGCGATACACGCTAGAGATGCTACATGGAACCGAATTTGAGCTTAATTTACAAAACAAAGTGACCTTTAAAATGTGTTCTTATGTTTATCTGGAAATGAGTCAACAAAAATAAACGTTCATACTCTGTAACCCTGTGACACTAAAGAGGAAAAACATTTTCTCCACCTCATGAAGAAATGTTATTGAAAAATCCCCAACAGTGAAAACCTCTCCTCATCATATTTTAATTAAACAGCTAAATATCTCACCCAAGAATCCTAGTGTAACCTACACTGAATCATACCATCTGTATGAAGATGTTTTGCCTTTATGCCAGTACTTCCATCTCAGATGACTCAGAATGGGTGGTGCTTATAGGGAGAAGAATCCAGACCTTTCTATCCTACTCAGAAATCCAGGCCTGCTGAGCACACTTGTTCAATGCAGGTTGACACCAGAGTTGTCTTTTCTTAGCAGGAAAATGATCCTGCATAGGCTACCATGACCTCACTGCTTCTGGCACCTGAGCGAAGTTGGTTTTGACAACCAAGAAAGCTACTTATTCAATATTTGGTAAAGGTCAGAGTCCATTAATGCTAATGAGGTAGTCATACAGTGTTGGATGTATGTCTGTTAAGGGCTTATCAGCCTTTTAAACCATGATCTATTTAGAAGTATTCAGATTTCCTGAATGTTTTTAACTTACTATATCCACTGTTTCATAAATCCAGCAAATGATACCGAGTGTTTAATCAATTCTAAGGGATGCTTTCTGTGAATATTACTAATCTGCTATTTTTGGTAAAGTAATGAAATAATTCTGAGACAAAGGTAAAATGCCTCAATAAGAAATAAAACAGATTAATGAAGATAAAAGATGACTACTAGTAGTTAGGTAGAATGTCTTTCCCCTGCTTGGCCAAAAGAACGCTGGAGCAGGCCTCATCAACAAGGGAACTGGCCTCAGTTTCCCCATCCAGCACAGAGTTGGCATGTGCAAACCCTGTACACCTACACTGAGAGAGAGGGCTCCGCAGGAATTGGAAGTGGGACTAAGAAACACCCTGTTTGCTGTCTGTGTGTGAGGTGTCGTCTGTTCCTCCCAGACCCTCCTTTCTCTGCTACACTGAGCAGAGCTGTGGGACAGCTGTCCCAGGAACTCATTTTCCCTTTCTGTTCTGAGTATTTCCTGCCTCTGTTCACAGCGTTTCTCTATGCCTGCACATTTGGGTAAGCACAGAGCACTTAATCGTTCATAAAGTTCATAAAAATCTATTAAACTCAGTATAAGATAGTTGTAATACTTTATCTGGTAAGCTTCAGCACTCTGCTCAGTCATCATACTTTATTATCTTCTATCATGAAGACTTGCTCTCTCGCACAAGTCACAGCAAGTCACCACACCTTTTCCTACTAGGAAACAGTGGGTAGTTCTCTCCACAGCTTTACAGGCAGCAGCGAGTGGACACTAGCTTTTTGGAAGATAAATATTCTATTTACACAGTATTATGCAAAGGTTACTTTCCAACTTACTGCAGAAAACCTAAGTTATGAAGTATATATACAAAATTACTCTGAAAATAGAAAAAAAAAAAAGATATATTTTCTTCTGTTTGCTTATTTATTTACAACCTTCCAAGCAAGTTGCACTAACTAGAATACACACAAAATGGAATGCGTGCAATATATACACAAAGAACATAATTCAAATGTATATGGTACCCTATATTTTCACCCATCAATTCACTGATTTTTCAGCTTCTCCACTTCAAGATTTCTTTGCATCATATGACTGACCTGCAAAAGAAATACCAATTCCTGTGTATTTTAGGTGTAGCTAAATTAAATCTCTGCAGCTATGGTCTATTTATATGTACACTGTACTGTTAGCACAGTTCAAGTACTTCACAAATACTGACCCTGCAGGATCTCTGGGGTGTTACACTGTTCCTCATCACCACTCATGTGGACAACAGATCTTCTCCACTCACACCAGTGGCTGCACTGTGATGGAGAAGACATTCTCTGTTACCCGCCTCACAGCAAGTGACACTGACAAGTACAGACCATGACAAAACTTCCCTCCCTGTTACTAACAAGGTTGCTACCATGCTCTGCAACTTTCTTCCTCTAGGCACTTTTTTTTTTTTTCCCCTTTAGAACAAGAAGTAATATCTCAGTTCAACTAAACTAGTAAAATAAGTTTTAAAATAGATTTCCGTTCAAACCACATTATATTTCCTTTCTCGCATTGTACGTGACCTTTGGTGAAACACCAAAATCTTTTAAGGCTATCCAACAACTGACAGCAATAGTTGGTAGCAAGAACAGCGATGGATTTACTGACTCTACCCTGCAGTACATAAGTTCCTCCTTAACAGGCCTACTTCCGGTACAGAACTTGCATCCCTTTGATATGTAATCTTATATGCTATGCTAGAAGCAGCAAATTAACCATTTATTTTGCAGTGATTGGTAGACTCCAATATCTCTACTTCTTGAGTGATTTTAATTACACTGTGATTTCTGACTGCAGTTCTCAAACTAACCCTTTGTCATACAGCATTTAACTAATAGTCTAAATCCCTCATAGGAAAAGACTCGTGATAAAAGTTACAGGGGATGTATATTAATGTAATAAAATAAAAATCTTACACATATATAAAGATCTAGTGAATATCTAATCTTAGAAAAGCGAGTGAAGGCAGTTTGCTCTTTAATTTTCTCTTTCTTTCTTCAGGTCTGCCAAATTAAAACACAGTTTGCCTCAGAGCAAAGTAAATTTTGCCATCATGGTACATGAGGAGGCATAGCTGAAGCATTCTTCCTGACAAATCAACAGATGATTTGAGCTCAAAATGAAACATTTCTCATTCAGAGACTGCAGATGCATGAGCATTAGTATGATATGGCATGGTACCATATCCAGCTTATTGAAACTAAGACATAGGCAGGTTAAATCACATGTCCAGAATTACCCAGCAAATCTAACAACAGAGCAGTAAACAGGGTGTAGTTCCCTTGTCTGAGCCCTCTATGCTGGGTTCAACAAGCTGAGTGATTTCAGATACACAGATTAATTAATTTTTCTGGACAAAGGCTTTTAAGGCAAATGCTTTACGCATATGGCTTCAGCCAGCAGTTTAAACCCTTTACTTGTATAAATATCAAACGTCATGCCCTGAAAAATAGATTAAAATATGAATATTAAACATATCTATATTAGAAAGCAATTTATACCCAAGTAAAACTGTTACTACTCCAGAGTGACCAGGGTGTCTTTCCATTAGAGCTGCATGGCACTGGATTAGTCCATGTTTGTTTGCACAGCCTCTTCATCCTACTAGGTAATGACAGGTCTTCTTTTCATTCTCAGTATCTGGATGTGATTAAAGTAAAAAAAAAAAAAAAATCAAATATTATGGCTTATATTCTGGTATTTTTAAAATTTCTGATTGTTCCCACTAGTCTGTAAAATTCAAGGCAGAAAAAACCATTACAACCATTATTTATATGTAACTTATATAAATGTAACTATACAAAAAACCCCTCGCACTTATATTGGTTCTGCTATGCCTAACGTAAGATTGGCCACTGTTCATAGTGGATTGACATAGCTCATGGCACAGAAGTAAAAAAAGGGGGGGTGGGGGTGGTTCCCACCTTCTCCAGTCTTGTGGAAGTCTGTGGAATTTTGGGCAACACAAATGTTAAAGGGCTGTCAGAAACACAGCTGGAGGTCATACTGATTTTTTCCTTTATTCGGAGTCCAACTGCCAAATGCAAACTGATTCCCAAGCAGACCTGGGAAAAACCTCTTGGGGAGAGTAAAACCTCTTCTGGGACGTCAAGCTGTGAAATAACACAGTGTTAGTGATACATAGTTCATTAACAGCGGCCTAATTTCACACTGTACAAGGAGAGCTGGCAGACAAACCTACGGTGGGCTGCTGGAGAGGGGAAGGGGCGAGGGAAACGGGGGGTCGGGCAGTCTGCTCTCCTCAGAAGGCGGGGGACGCTGCTCCCTGCCACGGGCGCCTCCTCCGTGCGCTCCTAAGGTGGTAGTGTCTGTCTGTCTGTCTGTCTGTCTGTCACGACAGCACAAGCAGCCCACAGGACCTCGGTGACCGCCCGCTCCCACCAACTCCCGCACCCCGCCGAGGCACACATAGTACCCGCCTCGGCATCGGTGAAAAGCGAAAGGAAAAAAAAAAAAAAAAAAAGAAAAAAAAAATTTGGCTCCGATTTTCGGGCCGCTTTTCCCGTCCGGGAGCGGGGAGCGAGGCTGTGAGGACGGGGTTAGGCCGCGGGGAGCGGGGCCGCCGCCATGGCAACGGGGGCGGGCGGGGCGAAGGGAGGAAGAGGCGGGCGAAGGGGGAGGTGTCGCCGTGCTGATTGGGTGACGGCGTGGCGCTGACGGCTTCCGGCGTGCGCTGCGCGGCGGGCGGCAGGGCGGAGCGGAGCGGGTGAGGGGTGGGGGGACCGGGCGCGGTGTCGGTGTTGTCGGTGCGGCGGCGCGCAGCCATGGACACGCTGGGCAGGAAGGTGGTGGTGTGCGACAACGGCACCGGGGTGAGTCGCTCCGGGACCCTCCGGGGCGCCGGGGGTGTGTGTGTGTGTGTGGGGGGGGAAGCAGGGCGGTGACTTCCCCCCCCCCCCCCGCCACCGCCTCAACCCGGCCCGGCTTCCTGTGGGGACACCCGCGGGCCGCGCCCGGCCCTGCCGCCGCCGCCGCCGCCCCACCGGGCCCGGCCGCCTTCCCCGCCCCGCGTCCAGGCGCTGCCCCCCGCCGCCAGCCCCGGCCCTCGGCTCAACCGCTGCGGCGGGGGAAGCCGGTGCGGGCTCCGCGGAATGAATGGGCGGGGGGGGGGGGGGAACCGGGCGCAGAACGGCGCCGGCCCCGGCGCTTCGCCGGGTTCTCCGCTTGTTTCTAAACCGGCTGAGCAAAACCTGCCCTCGGGGGTCTTCGGTGCTGGGTCCGGTGGGCGGGTGTGGTGCTGATCCCCCTCCCGGCGTTTTGCTGTTTTACCCGTGAATACCTTATTTCTCGACATGACCCGAGCAAGTCTCTCCATAGCAACTAGCGTTTAACCAAAAAAAAAAATTGACCATTTGAAAAAAAAAAAAAAAAAAAGACACAATTCGGAATGAGCAGAAGACAAGAGCAACCAGGGATGTGCCCCCTCTCTATGCAGGATTATTACTCTTAGGGAAATGGTTTGGGGGACTTTGTGGTGTGGGTTTTTTTTTTTTGTTTGTTTGTTGGTTGTTTTTTTTTGCAGCTACTGGTCAAAATGGAGCATCATCCTTTTGTTAAGACTTTCCTGATCAGCACCATACTCAAAATTGGCATTTTTAAAACAAGAGAGCCCCAAAGGTTTTCTCCCCATCCTTTCACCTTTTCTGCCCTCCCTGAGCGTGCAGGCACCCACCAGAATTCAGCCTTTTGTCAGCGGTGCGCAGGCTTCCTCGACAGGAAGTGGTAAAGATAACCATTTTAAAGCAAAAAGATGTTATAGGTGGATATTTCCCATTGGTAATTTTGTTTAGAAATCTAGGGTTTCCCCCAGTAAAACGGGATGTGGAGAGTTAACACAGCTGACGGCATGTAAAGATCTCTTGAGCTGCAAAAAAAGGGAAGTGATTTTTTTTTTTTTTCTTTTTATAAACACTTGGAATAAAGTTGGCTTTTTAAAAGCCAAAGAGGGAATAGTTGAGACAAAGGATATCATTGTTAGAGATTTGACATTGTGAATTAGAGGGTTTTTCAATTAGGGTCTGAAATCGTTTGAGTGGTTCAGGAAGAAGAGCATCATGTTTGACATTTCTGCTATCTTCAAGTTCTACCTGCTATAGCAAAAATTATCTTTAATAGGGCTGTGGTCTGGGGCCTTTGGGCACATTTTACACTATCGTTTAGAAAAAGGAAAGGAAAAAAAATGAAGGCATTTTACCATTGTTACAAAGGGATGCGGAAGCTTTTTTGTTGTTTTTGTTTCCCCCCCCCCCCCCCCCCATTGTTTAATACTCTTACTGTCAGGCCTGTATCAAAGAAAAAAAAAATTAGAGCTTCATTCTTTAGTGTGGTCCTTTACATATCAGTAAATCATTGAGTTGTGAGATGTTTGGTGTAGGGGTAGCGACAGCAGCGTTGTGTTTTGGCTGGTCTCAGTAAGGTGTGAGGCGCAGGGTAGAAGTCGTTATTTTTACCCATTTTCCCAAATTGGGTTTGCAACACAGATTTTGTACAGTGTCAAATATCTGTGTGTGCTTTTAAATCACAAGACCTCTTGGAATTATAATTTTTTTTTTTTTTGCTTTGAGTTATACCAGCAGGATACAGTGGAAGGTGCCTTTATAGGGCCCTTGTGTTTCTGAGAGGAGGGGCCTGTGTCGCTTCATCTTGTGTTGCTTTGGGTTGTGTTGGGCCTCTGAGCAGAACAACATTCATATGGAAGAGCCCTGGCTACAGAGTTCATTATGTGGGAGAGCAAAGTATCGAGAAATAATTGTTAGATCAGTAAATTCAAAATATTTAGGTTGAATTGGGATAATTAAACTAGAATTGGGATAATTACACTGGAAGAAAATTTAATTCAATAAATATTTTGAGCCTCAACTGTGTATTGAGATTATCAAGTAGTCCTATATTGTCAAATCAGTATTTTTACAATAATATTCTTTCTGTATGACAAAGAAGAGATGTTTTATGTCAGAGTGATTTCTGAAACGTCGTGATATGTCATACTTAAAACCATGATTGACATTAAATCTCTTGCCAGGTGCCAGAAATACTACATAAAAATGGAAAATCATCTTTAGAAAAATCAGATGTGATTTTAACTTCAGGCTTGTCTTTGAAATTTACTGTTCTTGTTCTGCTGCAATAATGCATCTGTCTGCAACCGATCTTTGAGGAAGAGGTGACTGCAAGGAAGTTCTTGCAACATGTAGTGTAGCAGAGAGGCAGGCAATGGCACCTCAAAGGTCTAAAGCATTGGAGGTGATTCTTCTTATTGGTATAGGTCAAACAGTAACTTCCTTAGTGGCCTGCAAAATTGCTCTAATTTTATCTAGGGTGTTTGTCAGAGCATTGCATCAATAAAAAGAATCAAGCACAGAGACCTGATAAGAATATTAGTATTCATTTTAAAACTTGTCACGTGAGCTGTTTGTGAGCTTCCTCATTCTTTTCGTTTGAAAGAACGTACAAAACCACGTACAAGTTCTTACTGTTTGATGACTCAGTAGGAAGTGAAAGAGTCGATACAAGCCACAGTGACATGTAGAAGAAACTATATATGGTAAAACTTCTTACATACATGGCCTTGCACACAGGCAAGCTAAGTAGCTATTCCGAATACACTCTGAATGTATAGCAAATGTGTGCAAAAATGATGATGAACTCTTGGCTTCCTTACAGAGATGTGTAAATTCATTGAGTGTTGGTGTTATCGTTCAAGTTACGGTGTATACTAAGCATTGTACTGAAATTATCTTACAGTTGTTCCAAGGGATATGCACAATAAGAGATGGAAGAGAAGTAAGCACGCTATATGTAAATTTTACTAGAGAGTTTCATACTGGGAATGGCAAACAGCGAATATTTAATGTCTGGCACTAGAAAAGAGAAGCTGATTATATCCCAAACTAGTGCAGTTCATAATGTTTAATTGAAGATTTTGGAGGATCTCCTGTAAGGGATGGGAGGGAGAAGCATCTTGTTTTTCCTGTACCCTTCAAAAATGTAAAACTGTCCAGGATCTAGTATTTACATTCATCTGTGTTTAAGTGCATTTACCTGTTGGTAGTGTTACTGAGTCTGGTTCTCTAGCCATAATATCCAGTGTTGCATCATCACAAACCTCCTAAACCAGCCAAATATTCAATATCATGTCAGGGAGAGTACTACAGTGGGGATGCTCTCATTGATGGAGAAGCTGATGTACAAGGCTGACTTTTTCTCATCTTCACCAAATTTTCATGTAGCCTAGAGGGGAAAATTTCAAATTTGAACGGCAGGAGATAGAGTTAAAATTCTGCCCCATCTATCTACTGCTGAGTTTACCAAATTTGTAAAAATTTTTTTTTTTTTAAGGCTCTCTGTTCTGGCCTGAAGGAAGTAGGGAACAGATGGTGAATGTCCAAGATTAATCTTGTTCTTTGTATTTCACATAGATAAAATCTGGGTTTGATTGTGTTTTAGGCTGATTGGAGAAATGATCTGTTTTTAAAATCTAGGATTTTAAAACATTGTTAACTTCCTGGAAAGGTGTGTCAAGGTCTTAAGGTGGAAAGGAGCTAGAAGTTATTACAGTTCAAATAGTCAGGACTTTGAATAGTATTTTTGTAGGTCACCATTTTTTAGGTCAGCATAGTTACATGTGATGTTTGAAGGTATTTTTAAGGCTGCCCAAGAGGCACTTACTGATCTTGGGCAGTAGTCGCTTTGGTCATGTATCTCAGTGGTTGCTATGTAAATCTCAGGGTTTATTTGCCCAGTCATCAGGATTTAAAAGTGTGGGTAGCACAGCTTCTTGAAATATGCTCCAGTAGCTTGAGTTGTAAAGATTCATTTAGATGTTACCAGTCCCGTTACTTCTGTTGACCAACACATTTGGTGGTGACTGGTAGGGAAGTTGCTTCATGCCAGGGGAAAGGCAAGGAGGAAAAGCTATAAGCAAATAGGTGGGTGTAAAGGTGCATGGGCTACCTGGGGGTGCTTACGGTCGTACTTAAAACAATTCATGAAACCCTAAGCTGGAGAATGGGCTGTTTTATAGAACTTTCTTCTAGCTTGACCAGGTCCTGCACAATGAAATTTATAACAAGCATACCTAAATATTGTAGTAGCAACAAAAATTGTGTGATTGCCCTGGATGCAGTAATTTGCTAAATCTGAAAGTGAGCTTATTTTATTTTTTAAAATTTGAGCACCATTATTTAGACTTGGCTCAGTCCTTCAAAATGTCTTCTATGTTTCCTCTGGTATAAAACTTCTGGTAGAGTCTTCTGGTGTATTCAGGAACTGTGATCCAGAAACCCTTGTGGCTACTCTTTGCTTTTCCATAGCAACACCACATTCTTGAATACACAGATAAGATCTATATAACTCCTAGGTACTTCTGGCCTTAATATAAGCAAAGAGTTGATAAGTACTTTCCTTTTCAGGGAACTCCATTGAAGTAGAATCAGCAAAATATGCTGTATACACAGTGTCATTCTTCAGGTATTCCAAACAGCTCTGCCTTTGGAGACAGCAAGCACTGAATGGGTGACAGAAATGGGGGCACAAAAAAAGATTCCCTTCCCCCCTGCATTAGCCCAACTTTAATTAAAATATATCCTGGCTCTTTCCCTAACTGGCTTTATAAATTTCTGTCCAAAATGGGTGCCCTTTTTAACTGCAGTAAGGCAAATAATTTAGAGCAACAGAAAGTGACTCTTCATGTTACTGTAATTGCAGAATCCCCCTCAGCTGCAATTAGCTGTACTCTTTGCTGTGATAATTGTTTCAGTGGCAGTCTTCAGACTTAACTTCTGAAAACTCGGTGCACGTTTTGGAAATTCTAGCAGATGGCTTTTAATAATACTTTGAGCCCAGGGTTGGACAAGACTGCTCCTGAGGTTCCCTCCAACCTGAATGATCCCATGATGCTGTGTTACTGCTCTTACACCTAGCTGGTTGAGTAATTTGGCAGATTAAAATGTGTAATGTTTAGTTTGGGACTGCAGGATGTTGTTCTGGCATGCTGATGTAGCTTAGTATGCTGAGTATGAATCAAAAAGAGAGAAGGCTGCTCTATATGAGCTGCATTTCATAACATCACAGTAGGATAGCCAAAGAGCAGAAATTGTTGATCCTTGGGAGCTAAAAGTGTAACGTGCTGCTGGCACATTTGAAGTTCTTGTTTTACAACTGAGCTTCGTCTAGTGACTATATATATATATTTTTTTTTTTTGTAATACTTAGTTAATCTTCTCTGTTTTCTTAGTGTATATACTATCGTAGGACCCAGTGATACAAAGCTTCCTTCTGTACATATTTGGGTATGATACATCCTTTCAGAGTATCCTGTTTGGTATGAACTACCTACCATGAGCTGAGGTTTTGGTTATGCTGTTGGTTTTAAAGTGCTTACTACAAACTCCTATGTTTATCCTTAAAAGAAATCCTGAAAATTATGAAACTGAGAAATCCATCTGAATTGCACGGACTATCTGTTAGTTCACTGTTTGACACTTGTAACAGCATAACACCTTGAATTCACAAGGTTTTGTTTTTTTCTGATGTGTAATTTGTTATGCTACTGTGTGCTCTAATTGGAGAGGTGATTTAATTTGGTCTCATTGGATACTCATTATAAGGTGATCCATTACAAACTGATGGCTTTCAGGTTGCTAGGGAACTTTTTTTACAGAGTGACAGGAAATCCAAATTCAAACAGTGGACTCTTACGCCTTTCAATGTACTTAGTTGTTTTAATATTCTTTCTCTAAAATGTGACAGTCTGATTCAGAAAACATTCTGGAAAATAATTTTAATTCAGTTTTATTATGCATCATCTGAAATGTGTAAAATTAATTTGAAAGTATAAATCCAATTGGTTTCCATTGAGACACATGCTTTTAAATTTGGGCTTTTATTTTTTTACCCCAAACCAGGTCTCTGTTGGCAAACAAAAGTAATGCATATTCTAATAAAATTATTTATTCCTTTTCAGTTTGTGAAATGTGGCTATGCAGGCTCAAATTTTCCAGAGCACATTTTTCCAGCTTTGGTTGGAAGACCCATTATAAGATCAACTGCTAAAGTGGGAAACATTGAAATCAAGGTAAATTTTTTTTTCATTATTAGTCCTTTATGACAGATAAAAATATTTAGGACAGGTTTTGACTTACGTAATGTTTAGAAATGCTTTTTTCCTTAATACCCCTTTATGTTCTTTCAGTATCTCTTGATTAATTTCTGTATGGATTTTAGCCTGTCACAAACGACAAAGTTATTAAGAGGGTAATCTGAAGCACTGGAGGCCTTCAGATAGTACAACTGAGGCAGCAGCAGGTAGGGCTCGAGGGGTTCTGGGCAGAAAGGGGCTTCGGATGCCAGTGTGTAAGTGATGTCAAGATTAGAAGGCAGAAATCAGACAGAAGTGGTTGATGTTGGTCACCGAGCTGTACTGTGGGATTCTGAGACAATGCTGACGAACTGCTGGAGCTTTCAGGTCTTTCTCTGCTGTTTGCTTTCTACTCAGAGCTGATCATCTGTGATCTTGTATGAGATGTTTAACCTTGGTCGTGTTTGCATTTCATTGTTTCTATTGTTTTTGTTTTGTTTTCTTTCTGCTGTTGATAGACATAGGTATTCCACACCAGCTAGAGATGGAGAGGCTGTGTTCAGGCTACTTCATCTTGGGGTGTTATTTCAAGCTTGGAATGGGGGGGAGGGACCACTGTTTGAGAGGTTTTTTTCTCAAGTCTGGGGAGCTATCATTTCTCACTTTATTTTGTAATTACAGACTAATGTTTTAAATGTTAATAGTTACTTCTGCAGTACAGACTTCAGTAAATGCCTTGGCCCTGCTGTGGTCACATCCTCCCTTTTTGCTTCTAGCCACACATTCTCACCTTGTGCTGGCCATACTACTTGTGCAGTCATGTGGTGAGCCACTTTAGCAAGCTGTTCAGCTGAAGAGGAGTGATTTCTTTGTCAGGTAAAGTTTTGACTGCCTTACTAGACAATTGTGCAAGCTCCGGTTTGAGAGCAAGGCAGAAGCTGGAACTTGAAGGAGAAGCAGGAGGTGATGCAGAACTGTAGAAGCCCTCACTTAGGCCAGTGAACGTCAAGTAGAACCACTGCGTACAGGCTTTCAATTTTGCCTTCCTTATTGCTTCTGAGCAGCAGCTTAGTAAAAGGGAAAAACAAAACAAAACAATCAACCACCACCATCTGCCCAGCCTTGTTCCTTATTTTCAGAACCCTATGGGTGACAGGGAGAACTTCAGTTATCTGATTTCTGCTGTTGCCTGTAAAAAGTTAGTCGTATCAGCAGAAGGCCATACTAGGAAGTCAGGAGGATGAAAGACATCAGACCTTTTCAGAATGTGGTTGTTTTTTTTTTTTTTCAATATTGTAATACTGCTTACTTTGTGTCAGCGAGGACAATATGGTTGAAAGGATGGAGACCTTTCCCTTTCACAATAGCTGGGAGTTTTTGTAAAGAGAGGGAAAACATCTTCCTTTCTCTTGCAAGACTTGGGGAGAGGTGTTTCTTTGGTTATCTACTTGGATTTAATGTGACAGTTTCTTCAAGGAGGTCCTGGTAAAGTTTTATGGAAGTTATGCAGTGATTTACAAGTCTTAAGTCCAAGAAAAATTCTCTTGCATGAAATGCCATCGTTGAAGTCCTGTTTTCTTTCCATCTGATCTGATACAGCCTGTCCTGCCAGTTTTAGTATCGTCTGATTATCTGATAACGTAGTTTAATATCAGTACAGATGACAGTGTTGAATTGGAAAGATAGGAGGTAGAAGTGGGTAGTTGCTATGAGATCAGTGTAAAAGAACCAGTAAACTATAATTTTGCATGCATTGCCTGTCATCTTCTTGAGCATGGATCAGATGGGTGTATCAGAGAGAGTATAAACGGTGTTTAGATTCTTCCTAGAGGTTTTATAGCCTCTGCCTATATTAGCTAGTCACTTATTCTTAAGGAAACAGTGTATCAAGAGAAGAAATCCCAACCACAGATACTTTGGGTATCCCAGTGGGATAATAGGGCAGGAAGACTTGTTATGTGTGAGTGCTGTTTTTCTTTGTGAGCTCATTGAAGGTTTCCTAAAAAAATGTATTTTAGCAGATGAGTTTTATGCCAAAATTTAATTCTAGGCATTCACTGCAAGTTCTTATGGGATAAGTTTAAAACCGAGTAAAGGCAGCTGGCAAGAAGATTATCAGTTTAACTTTTCAAAACTATTCAGAAAAGCTGTCATTCCTGTGAAATTCAGAAACTGCGAAAAGAGTCTGGAAGCTGATCAAAACAGTGGTTATCATCCATCTATGGAGTTACTGATTTCAAGTTGCTTTGTGCATGTGTTCCTTCTGGATTTTCATTTCAGCCAGCAGCAGGGATATAGCTTTTTCTCCTACTGAGAGTCCCCAGTTCAGGACATAATCACAAAAGTTCAGTTATTAGTGGGATTATTTTGCTTAAAATTGCAGCCTTAAAACTCTAAAACCAGAAGCATAGATGCTGCTCTTAGCTTTTACTGACTTGCTAATCTTTGCAGCAGGTTTGGGGGGTTACTGACCATCTTAGGAAGGCAGGACTGACTGATGAGTAGCTTTGACTAGTTAAAACAGTTAAGATTTTAGGGCAGATCAGACCCAGCGACCTGCTGAGCCACAGTCCGTGTCCTACAGTTCTGCTCAGTTTCTGCCAAAGACAGCCCGGAGAAGGTAATTCTCTGGATTTGAAGTGAGGAGGAGGGCTGCACTCAGCCAGCCTCTTTGGTACTGCCTGGGCAAAGGCAGCTGCCAGAAACTCTACGCTCTTTTACTTTGACACAATTTGCAGAGTAAGTAGATTTGTCCTAATGGTGCTGATGGTTATCCTGTGGTTTTTGGCAGCTTAGGGGACTCCAGGTGAATGTTAATCGAAGGAGGAAGAATATCAATAATCACAGAAATGGCTTTATTTTGGACAGTGTTTGTGCACATACACTTCAAATATCTCATAGTGCTTCCTGGCTGCTTTAATTATTTTATCTTCCTACCTCCAGAGCTTGCTATAGGGAAAGAGCTTTGAGACATTGCTCTTACTACTGCCCTTCACGATTGCTTGTTTCCACTCTGAGAGTAGATGCCATAGTTGAAGTAAATATCTCTTATTTGGTTACTTTTGGGTGTTTGTTCCACAATATATGAACAGATTAGCCTGCTTATAGGTGAATGCTTTTATGTTACAGCTTTCAGTTCTTGGGTATTTAAAGCAGAATTTTTAAAACAAAATTTAAATTTAACATACATCAGAGCTAGTTATGGTCAAACACCTTGTGCAGAATCTCGTCTAGTTCAGATAAATGCTTTGCCCAGGGTAGGACTCCAGTGTTACAGAATATTTATGCACAGAATCCTATTTATGAGAAATAGGCAGATATACTGATCTTGTTTGCAGCATAAGATGCATAAACATGGCATGCCACTGACGTGTAGCAATAGCTTCCTTTAAAGAGACATTTTAATCTGAGATCCTCAGAACATTAGTTTGGCCCCTAACTAAACTAACTCAGCTCATTTCCTGCTGTACATGCATCTCTTTCAGCCTATTTCTACTGTGTACTTAAAATAATTTGAGAATTTCATTTAGGCCTTTTCTGACTTTCTTGCTTCTACCTTCTTTCTTCACCTTTCTTGACCTGTTGAAGTAGAATAACAAAAAGATGGTAAGTGAGGTGCCCCTGTGCTGTTTGTTTACCATTTTTGCTTGATGGGACCCAGTAGCTGTTATGTTATTTTTTGATGCTATTCATTGTTTTGTCTTGTCTTACATTTTACGTTTGAATACATACTTATTTTGGACTTTGTTCATTGCTTTGGTTTACTAGCAACTAATTCATGAGAGTATTTTATGTATTGCTTCTAAATGCAGCAGAACCTGTAGTTTTGCAAGATGTAAGAATAACTCCTAAAGAGCAACATGAGTTCAGCACCTTTTGCCGTATGTAACATTACAAATCAAGAGCTTGAATAAACTTTCAGGTGTCAGTCAGACAAATATTACTGAGTACTAACGTGGTGGAAGCATTGAGGGTCGTGATATGGGTTCCTCTCTGCAAATTCAGTTGTGCTGTCCTTCTTCCTCTTCATCTTCCAAGTGCGCATGTTTGTTAGCGTGCTCGTGAGACCAATTGTTTTGCCCTTTAACTTTGTTTTCAAAGGATATGAAAGTTTTGTGGAACTTCTATTGCATGTTTGAATAGCGGCTTTTCCTGGGCTTTATCCTGGTTGGCAGCATAGCACCTCAAAGAACAATGCACAAAAAAGGCTTCTGATTCTTCCAGCTGGTGGAGTTTCTCTCCTCTTAAATTCTCAGGTGCAAGATGTTTGCATGGTAGAGTTTTCATAGTATGGTTTCACTAGTGTACGTTTAATTGAAAATGTTAGTCCTGACTTCTGTCTTCTGTACAGTGATCTGCTGTGCAAGGGAAAGCAAATAAAGCACCGTGTCAGGGAGAGGGGTTGGAAGAAGAATGGTTTGATTTAAACTATTTTCAAATAAGATCCTTTTTATATGGTCAGCAGTAATTGTTCAGGTTACTGCTTAGAAAAGGCATTATAAACTGGACACTGGATTTTTCCATTGTGCATCTTTTTTCCCTAGCATTGGAGAGTAGGTTGAATAACCCCCACTTTGGAGTTTTCTGTGGCACAGTAACTGCAAACTGTGGTGGTGTGTTTTTGTATGAAGCAGCTTGGTTTTTTTGCAATGACATGAATATAATGCTAGTGTGGAAACAGCGCTATTGGTACCTAGAAATATGTTTTTGTAGGCTAAATATGAGCAAGTCAGTTGAGGCTTCTTTAGAAAAGTATGGGATATAATAGGGAGCAAAGATAACGTAACTGCGCATACTTTCTCTGGGAAATATGTGGGAAAGGAGAAGATATGATGCTACTAATTTGAATGTGCAATGCTTGCATAACTAACTTTAATAAACAGATTGCTTAATTAGTGTGAAATGATTATACAAACTATGTGTTAGTTGGTTGTGTTTGTGTAAGAATGCATTACTGGGGTTTTTGGCTTGGGACTTTTGACATGGAACAGACGAGGTTATATTTTATATTTAGATGTGTCTCTTCACACCCTACTGACACAGGCAATATGTAAACCATTGTTTCTTTTAATGTCTAGTGTGGAACTTCTAATCTCTTATTTGCTTTCTTGCTACTGTTCGGTATGCTTATTCACCACTCATTATTCCTGTTTTGGTATTGTGCACAGAAGTTTGCAGCATGCATGGAAAAATATTCTGCCAATCCCACCTACTACCCTTATGTGCTATTTTGCATCTCAGCCTTTTGAAATTAGTATTTGATAAAAGAATTTTGGAGGTGTCAGTGGAGAAACATCTGTACTTACAGAGGTCTTTGTGGTATCGAGCTGTAGCAGGGTTTATTAGTTTGTTTAAGGTTAATTGGAGAATGGAATTAACAAAGTTTGTTTGGGATGGGTAACAACCAAATTTAAATACGACATTCAGTATATTCTACTTTTTTCCTAAGTACCTGAAAATGATTCTAAAACGTGGGCATTGTTTAAGAACACAGTTGGACACAGGCTGGAACAGTTCACCCTCATTCTTGAGGATTTTGATGTATGAAGAATTTTGCAAGTGCTAACATGTTTCTGTGTTACAATTTTACAGGATCTCATGGTTGGTGATGAAGCAAGTGAATTGCGCTCAATGCTGGAAGTGAACTATCCAATGGAGAATGGCATAGTTCGGAACTGGGATGATATGAAGCACCTCTGGGATTATACTTTTGGACCAGAAAAACTTAATATTGACACAAAAAATTGTAAAATACTGCTCACAGAACCTCCCATGAATCCAACTAAAAATAGGGAGAAGATTGTGGAGGTATGTCTGTCTCGTAGAAACTGATATATCCTGTCATTGAAGCATTGCTAGGAGATTTTAACTTCTCAGAACACCTGGTAACTGTCTGAGGCAAAGCAGTTCTTCTGTTTTGTAACCAAAATTTGTCCTCGGCTGTAGTCACGAAGGATGCTGTGGTTAAATTCAAACAAGCTGACCTCATTCAAAAGCTATAAGCAGGCTTCTTTATCTCAAGCCGTATCACCAGTAAGACACAGAATTGTAAATACATGTTCATGTGTCCAGGGTATATTGATGACTAGCTATTGGCTAATTGTTAATTACTTTAAAGGACCTGGGCTTCTGTTAAGCCAGTAGTAATGCTTCAGCAGAGATTGAGGCTTGAGGAGGATGGTGCTTACGAGATGGAGTGGTGGTGTTGGAGGTAGCGGAGACAAAGGTGTGATGACAACCAATTCACTAATCTTTGATTAATGCTAGGGATAATCAGTGAACGCCTTCTAAGGAGGAAAGCCTGGTTCTTGGATCCTCAGTCTCACAGTGCTGCCCTGGGTGGCCTGAGCTCCATCTGAACCTTGCATTAATGTAGGTTGTCAGGTGTATATTGTTTAGATCTAGTACTGTGTGACAGACTTGATTTTGAAGAGCAGTAATGTTTGACGAGAACAAAAAGTTTAGTTTCCTGGTCTGTTTTTGTTCTCAAGCATCATGAGTGTTTTGAATTAATCTAAATACTCAGTGTAACAAATGAGATTTTAAAAATGTGTTGAAGTAGCTGATAAGGCAGGAAAAATGGGTTCTCAGTCTGAAACCTTATCAGAGCTTTGCAATCTTGTGTGTGTATATATATTTCCCGCCCCCCCCCCCCCAATCTGTTGCTTTGTCTAATAAGAATTTGTCATTACCTGCTGACCTTTCCTTTAAAATCATTTTGTTGTTGCAGCTACAGTAGTGCTTTCTGCAATGTGGCAGCGAATATATTTGTGCTCATCGTTCAGTGACTTGGGAGCAAATGAAGTACAGCAAAGTTGGGAAAACTTAAGTGAAAAAAATGAAATCGTCCAATTTAAATTCAGCATTTCTTATCAATTGTAATAGGTCCCTAATGTCCACCTAAATATTATGTAATGCAACATTAGTAATACCGTTTATTGTATATCAGTCAGCTGTGGTGTGACAGGCATAGAAGATTTTTCTGGGTGCCCTCCATGTAGCAGGAATGGTTGTATTTCTTGTTCAGGCTTCTTTTGCTTTTCAGCTGTCTACAATAGTGTTCTTGTTTCAGTTTTCCTGCTAAACACAAAAGGCTGGGTTTTAGTTATTCTGGGACTGAGTAATTTCATCCCATAAATTGAAAAGGCTTGTATGGCTTCTGAAGTCTGATAAAATATTTGTATTGCTCCTTTTGCCTTTTTTTAAACCACTCCAGAGATTGTAGATACTTAATCATGATCTGGAGGATTAGGGAGACCTGGAATCCATTTTTGTAAATTTAAATTTGAGTTAAACAGAAGCTCATTGTTTCTATTAATATTTTGAATGGATTGCAGTGTTATGAAGGCAAGCAATATTCGTTTTTAACTGCAACCTATTTATGCTCCTTCCATTTTTGCCATGGACTTCTTTTCAGGGAGGCTAGCTCCGGTATGAAGCAGGGGACTGAATTAAGAATTTTTTCCTAAAGCCTGCAGGAAATGTAATAACGTCTTTGCATTTTGTGGTACAGTGCAGTAGCATTTTAAAAGAAAAGCTTAGTCATCTGGACCATATCAAGATAATTGATAATTATATATGCTGTGCTTCATTCTACTTCCAGTAATTCTCTCTCCTCATCCCATCGCTCCATCAAACTCAGATACATAGTAACAGCAGCAAGTGTTCATGTGACAGCTATATTGTAAAATATATATCTTAAAAGTGCAGGTTTTTTCCTAGCATGTACAAGGCACTGGTTGCTGCTCAGCTTAATTGGGTGTTTGCTGTTTGTGTCTCTCTGCTGCATTCTCATTCTGTAGTACCCTCAGGAGCAGTCAAACTCTAATGGTATAGCATGTAGCTGTAGAAATACTCCAGCACTGTCACTGCTCCTAATCTTAACCTAGTATTCTTTATCTTTTCCCAATTTTTAGTTCTTCCTTTCTGTGTCCAATTAGAACATCACTTTGTAGGTAATCCAAGAGCTGGTGGCATGAGAGGAAGAATCTTTTTGGGAGAACATCCTGCTCACTGTTTACACCTTAAGACTTGTTAACATATATGTCCCATGTCAAATGGAACCGACCAAGATATCTTGAAAGAAAGAATAACAGCCCCCCAAAGGCCTGCATATAGGTTATAAAAGGGTTTTGCAGTGGCTTCTAGGGTTTACTACAACATGCGAAGGCTGTAACTAATTCCATTTGAATATTCATTTTGCCGTATGAAGATGATGATTTAGATTTTTCTTAAATTAGTTTTTCATTCTGCAAGCACTCAGGTTGCTTGAAAGACTCATCCATTGGAATAGTGCTAGTTTTAGACAATGACTATTCAAACGGGATCTCTCTTTGAGTTGCTGCCCTTTCAATTGTTCCTTTTCTGGCAGACACTTCTGCTTCTTGTTTCTGAAGGTATTGCATTATGTGCTAAATTGTGGCCAGTATGGAAGTTACTAGCCCGCCTTGTAATGTCTTGCTCGTTCTTAGCCCATGCACCTGACTACTGTATTAAATTTCCTTTTATATTACCCAAGTTTACACCGGAGGTTAATAAAACCCCAAAGTGTGAGGCTCTGCAGCTCACTCCCTCTGTGTTCCTTTCTTCTTGGCTCCTGCTATACTGCGTGCTCACAGCAAATATCCCAAGAAAAGTGGCATCAGTCTTCCCAGGGGCTTTGAAGTGTGCTTGATACAGCTGTGAAATAATCAACTGGTCGTCGCAAGGATCAGGTTTTTGATATGGGCCAGCCATTTAAAATCACACTATTGTAATGGGGGAGGTTCTTTAAATAGTTCAGAATTCTAAAATTGTCAGGCATCAGCTTTTTTCCTTCAATAATATTTAGATATCTTTTACTGAAGCTGTGGGAGTACTTAGGATTTAATCAGTTTCTAATCCTAGAAGTTGCAGAAGTGCTCAGGGGGCTGCAGAATAGCAAAAACAAAACTTCTGTATGCGCTGGAATAATCAGAGTTCATCTGTTTTTCCTGGTAAAGCATTCTGAGTGGGAAACTGCTGTATAGTATGATTTGCTTACTTAGCCTTTTGTTGTGTTTATAAAGACGACAAGATCCTATAAACTCTCCATCTTTTAATCTTAGACTCTGTTTCTTCACTGAAACTAGTTTAAGGGATAGGGGAACCTAGTCTACAAGACAGGTTCCTAGTCTACAAAACCTAGTCTACAAAACATGAAACTTTTCATGTTTCAGTAAGAGCTCTGCAAACCTGTGGTTTTCTGTATGTAGTAACAGAGTTAGCCCTACCTGTACTATTTCAGTTGTAGTGGATTTTGCACTAATTCTAGAAGTTTGTCATCACTTGTGCTTTAGAGAAGGGAAGAAGGTGGCCCAAAGACAGAGAACCTCTGACATGGGGCTTAATCTAGACCCATATGTGTAGGAGTCTGGTCTTCATTTGATGTAGTCTGTGGCTCTACAAAGTCAATAGGGCCTGATGAAGACTTAAAAAAAAAAAAAAAAAAAAAAAGGGAACTTTATTAGATTTAGAGCATCCACCTTTAACAAACATTCCCAAGTCACACTTCAGTAATGAAGTACTTGGCTGGTCTACAAGTACTTCCTCCTGCTCATTAAGTGCTTTGGAAAATGGCTCAGTAAAGTAGCAGAAATTGGGCTGTGGGTTTCTTGTAAGTATTCACTTTCATTACTAAACAGATGTGGAATATTTCATATGGCTCATCCTGTGAGAACAGGTAAGGTATAGAGCTGAAAGCACTACTTACTGCCATAAAGCAAGTAGGTTTCTAATGTCTGTGTAGAAGCTGTGTGATAAAAATTTTTTGGAAAGTGGGTTTGATTAGCAAAAATACAGAATTCTAGAAATACAGTTTTCAAACATCTGTGGAATTTATTTTAAGTATTTGGCCTGTTTTGGATGTTAATTTTTGCCTTCGTCTTACAGGTTATGTTTGAGACATACCAGTTTTCTGGGGTGTATGTAGCCATTCAGGCTGTTCTTACTTTGTATGCTCAAGGTAGGCAAAGATAACTTAAAATTTGTTTAGTTTATAAATGTGTTGCTGAGCCAAAGTACTAATATGGTATTAATGGGTCTTGGGCTTAATTCAACGCTGTTCTAAGTAAGATCAGCTCTGACTTACGGGCTTGCTTTTTGCTTTGAGGAACTATTGATAGGTACCACTGTCAGTGGTGTTTTCATGAACCAATGGTGGGGGCAAGCTTGTAAATGCAAAAACCTGGTTTATCAGAACTGTCATTGTTTCAGGACGTAGTCATTTAGCCTTTGGCTTCAAGTCCTAATGACATGCTTTTGATTTTCTGATAAAGGAAAGACTTTATTACTGTAAGTGAATTTCAAGATGATGATTAGGTGACTTTTGCATGATTTTCAGTTCAAAAGAACTTGATTCTTTTGCTGTAGATAAACTAGAATAAATGATTTGAGGTGGAAATTATGGATTCACTGAATTCAATAGAAATTCTATCGCTGACTGCGATCCAGCCAGGGTTTTAAGAAGTTACTCACGGGCATGAGTTCTAATAACATGACTCCTTACATCTGTTTACTAGTGGCTTGACGTATTTAGCTGTCACATAGCAGGACATAAATATCCTTGTCAATTAACATGTCATCATAGTTTCTGTGTCTAAGCAAAAGTGATGGGGTACTGGAAGGGTGGTTCTGTTATGCAAGTCATTAAAACTAGTTGGACCAAAACCACTTTTGCAGAACTGGATATTAATTTTATTTGCTGCCATCTGTGCTATTACTCTTTTTTTTTCTTATTGGTTTCCCTTTTGTTTGTTTCCTTGGAAGTATTTAATTGAATAACACATACAGTCTTAAATTCTGCTGTAATTGTACGTGGATGTTACTGTATAGTGCTCAATTACTTTGTGAATAACAAAATGTGAAACAACGTAGAGCAGTCCACGGTGTTTCTATATACTATCATCTAAAACAAAGTTGAAGACCTAAGATATTAAAAAAACAAGCGGTACATAAATAGAACATTTGCTTTTGAAAATTAAAAAAAGCCCTTTATGACATCCTACTTACTGACATTACATTAAAGATTAAAGTAGTGGCTAAAATTACATACAGAGATGTGCCTCATCTCGGTGTACCGCATTTTGTTGCTGCTGTTAAAACTATCTTAAGACTAATTGTTGCTTTTACTGGGAACTCTGTGTGCTCGGGTGCCTTTTAAAGGTAAAGGGGTTTGTATATCAAAACCTAGTTCTAATTAGGAAATTCTTTAGCAGTTCCTCACAACAGTCTTTTGGAGTTAGGTGTAGTCCCTCGTGACTATTTCCTTCCTTTAGTGCGTGTGACCGATTGCAAGACTACTTGTGTTTGTGTAGCGGTTATTCCAGTTCACTAACAGATCTGAAGATCTGATCACATGACTGAACCAAGGTGTGTTCTTGGTTCGTTTCAGGCAAATAACCAATTTGTTTGCCTTCTGGGTTACAAAGCTTGAACAAATTACAGTAGCCAAACCAACATACCTTGCCATTACATATTAAACGTTCCTTCATTAAGGTCTCCCCTCACAATATTTTTTTCTTACCTATTATTTCTCCTTCTTATTTATTTTGTTAGTGAATTCTAGAAACTTCGGTTGCTACATCCTTTCTCAGTTTTGTACACCTTAGAATTTAATAGTTTTATGGTAAACATTTTTCACCAGAGTTGATTTCTTTAGTCTATGAAAGTAGATCTGATTCAGCCTAACACTATTTCTGTGGGAAAAAAAAATTAGGTGTGTATATAGTCCAAATATTCTCTACTTCACGAAAGCATTGCTTTATTTTTCGAATACCAGTCAAAATCAACAAGTCGTAATAATTGTAACAGGGTAAACTTGTGGCCTGAATACCCCTAGGTTACTTCTCACTTGAGAAATTAATACGAGCTTGCACATGTACAGCTGAATCTGAGGAGGAATTTGTGCCCCAACAAGCTTTTAATGATCTTAGATATTCTCTTTAATTAGAGTTGAATTTAATATGTCTAGATGTCAGATAAAATTGTGAATGGTAGAGTTATAAGCATCCAGGAAAAAGTAGAGGTAATACGTTTAAAAAACATATACGAAAGCATTTGTTATTATGAAAAACTTAAGTTTAAAATCCAGTTGAATAACAATAACTGAATTCTAAATTGTGACTTTTTCAAAAATGATGACTGGGGAGATAGAGGTTGTGTTAAGATTACAATGAAAAATCCTATCTGAAACTCACTGTTCTGTTCTGTTTACGAAGGTGCTATCAAAGTTGTACCTTTTTTTAGTTTTGTTTTGTTTTTTTTTTTCCTTCTTCCCTCCCATTCTTTTAGGATTGTTGACTGGTGTTGTTGTGGACTCTGGAGATGGGGTAACTCATATTTGCCCAGTTTATGAAGGTTTCTCTCTCCCTCATCTCACCAGACGGTTAGATATCGCTGGGAGGGACATCACTAGATACCTCATTAAGGTAAGCTGGAAAGAATTTAAGGTTGAGGCTGGTATCTGTGGTACGTTGGTTCAAGTTAAAATCCCTTGATAGCAAGAAACCACTATACATTTTCCCTTTATTATTCATATGTTAATTATATAAAGAACTCCTATATTCTCTGTATTGCTTCAGTCTAACCTTATGCTTCCTCATCTAAATCACACGTGATATTATTGATATTATTTAGAGACTTCACATTTCCTTAGAGGCAGTCTTGTAGGAAGGGATTTTATTCCATATTTGGAAAGGAAAAACTCAGAAGTTGGTTTTTGTGATACCTTGATAGAATACAATTTTGTTTTCATTTTGTTTTACTCATCTGTTATCAGAAAGACATTTGTCTTACAATGTGGAAAACGGTGTAGTGATTCTTCCCTGATTATTAATTAAGACAGTATGTTTTACAGACTTGGGTTGTTTTTGTTTTTGTTTTGTTTTGTTTTTTTGGCGTGTTTTTTTTTGTTGTTGTTGTTAATAAAAGCACTATTGACAAATCTAATGGCTAAACCAGAGTACTGGAGTCTTTTGAAGTGAGGTCTGAAATACAAGAATTATTTTGGTTATCTTTCATTTGTCTTTGTAACGGCTATACTGGAATTTGTGATGATGAAGAAAGTTTCCCACTCGGAGTAATGCTACTGCTATTCTACTTTTCTGGTAATAATGGATACACTGTCATAAATTTACTTAATACTAAATTTGCAGTTAAAAAGGGGAGATGAACTTTTAAAGGTAGATGTTTGAATGTACCCATCTACCAATAATGCACTGAGAGAGATATACACAGATATGGTATATATGTACTGATAATATATATACGTACCTATATATAATATATATACACATAATATATATTTTATATATATGCCAAAAATACTTATACACTGTTCTTCTCGTTTACTGCTAACCGAATATGTTCCCTCTAGCTCCTCTTACTGCGAGGGTATGCTTTCAACCATTCTGCTGATTTTGAGACTGTTCGCATGATCAAGGAGAAGCTATGTTACGTGGGATACAATATTGAACAGGAGCAGAAACTGGCATTAGAGACCACAGTACTAGTTGAATCCTACACGGTGAGTGTTTTGAGACAGCTTTTCTTGTCCTAAACGTCACAGGTTTAAATTCAGGTAGCACTTAGCTTCTAAATTTTTCTTGTCAGTAGCCTGCATCTCAGGCATAGGACTCTATTGCTTGGTTTTGGGAAAACTTTTAAAATCTGCTCTTTTTTTTTTTTTTTAATTTTCAGATTTTCCATAAGACTTTGTATTCATTTTTGTTACGGTAGATCCCTGAAATTTGAATATTATACTACGGGAACTTGTAGAGCAAGTGGATTTACTCTAGTATGTCAGATTGTGTTTCAGCTTTATCCATCTAGTAGTGACACATTGGAGACTGATATCTGGTGACAAGAGTGGTAAACTTGCTCTTAGTGGAAACTTCCTGTAATCACCCACAGAAGAAAAGAGCTCGCAGGAAAGCATTACTCTTGCTGTAGGATCAGATTTTAAATTGATTTTAGGAGCTGTATGGCAAGGAAATGTTCAGTATGTCAGTATCAATGTATTATATGGTCCCTGATGTCTCTAAGTAAATTGCATAACAATTGAAGGATTTGTATCTTCTTTCAGTAGTACTGAATGACTTCTTGCAGTGGTGGCATTTATCAACAATTTCCTGTTTTAAAACATCAGGGAACAACGTAGGTCATTTCCTCTTGGTTTGTTTAGTACCCAAGTGGCTACAAGTAGTCTTCTGAATGATGTTTTTTCTTCACTAGCTCCCGGATGGCAGGATTATCAAAGTTGGCGGAGAACGGTTCGAGGCACCAGAGGCTCTCTTCCAGCCTCACTTAATCAACGTAGAGGGGGTTGGGGTGGCTGAATTGCTGTTTAACACCATCCAGGCCGCTGACATTGATACCAGGTAAGAGCAGAACCCTTAAAACCCTCTGTCGGGGTGCGGGGGGTGGTGGGAGATCTGCATTCAAACAAAACAACATCTTTTGCTTTCGATGCCGGTACGTGCAGTGCTGGGGGAGGGTGTATGCTGGGAGCGGGGCTCAGTCTGAGATCTTGAAGCTTCACGGGTTGTCTGGAAACTTGACTGTCTTGGTATGAATGAGCAAGGATAAAATCTTGAAGGCGCAGTATGTTTTTACTGCTGCTTTCTGGGATGCCTGGAAAAGCACGAGCAAGCCCGCCAAACCTGTGCAATCTGATGTAATGACCCTTTTTTTTAGATTTGTATTTGCTCCCCTGTATGTACAGGTACCTACTTGTATGTACTACAGAGTGTGCTATATGATGCTAGAAAGACTACTTCTTTTGGTCAGGTCTGAGTTCTACAAGCACATTGTGCTGTCTGGAGGGTCTACCATGTACCCCGGGCTGCCTTCGCGACTGGAGCGGGAGCTCAAACAGCTCTACCTGGAACGAGTTCTGAAAGGAGATGTGGAAAAACTCTCGGTGGGTACCGAGTCGCTGCTTTGTTTGTATGGGGCCGAGGTTCATCCTGAATTCCCCACTAGAGGGAACCAAGTAGTCAGAAATGAGGGAAGCTGCGGGGGCCCTCCGTGCAACTTGCAAAATCGCTGCTCCTTTTCATATAGGTGGCTTGGGTGTACAGGCTTGCAGTAAAGCCACCTCCTAGTCCGTGCCAATAGCAAGTAATTCCTGAAGTCTTGGGTTAGTCTGAACGTAAAATGGACTAGGGCACAACTTGTAATGAAGGTTAAATAAAGCTAATGAGGTTTTGTGCCTTATTGTTGAGCAAAAATGATTTTTTTTTTATCTGCGGAAGTTTTGGTTCGTGCTATGAGTGAAATACTCAAAAGTAAGAGACTTAGAGTTCTCACACACCTTCGAGTGGAATAAATTTCCGCTGTTCCTTGGTGACTGGGATAAGCAGACACCAGCCCCACACACGTTACAGAGGTAACACTGCACTGTAATGCTATCTGCTTTTCAAGGAGGAGGTATTTGCAGAGAAAATTCCTCTGAGTTTCTAATGTTGAACTGAATTGAACCTCCCTAGTTCTTAATGCAGTGTTCTCTAAAGATCTTTTGCAGCTATACGGAATGACTCAGTTGGACAGAATGTTTTAAGTCTAAGACAGTATTTCACACATAGCTTTGACTGTACTCGTTTTTGTTCTTGAAGTTAGAGCTTTAGCGTCGAAGAATTTAAGGGAATATTAATTAGTTAAGCTGGTCTAGATTGTGTAAATGTAAAATCTGTTCCATCTGCCCCTCTAAAACTTGGTATAATTCTAAAATATTTTAGGATTTGATGATCTGGTAACTTCTGATAATTTTAACCATCAAAGCTTGGGAAGTATTTCACTTGTTACCGTGTTCATAAAATGCAAAAATACGGTGTTTAATTTTGTATTCTGACTCCTCGTCTTTTTGTGGATGCACTGAAAAGCGTAATTTGGGGGGACGTGTCAGTGGCTCTCTAATTGCCAGCACAAAGTAGTTATTTTACTTTGGTTGCACAAGCTGGAAGCTCAAGCAGAGTGCCCTGTGCTAGCATTTCAGTTTTTTGGTTGCATTTTTCTCGCTAAGCAGTTTCCGTTTCATTGTTCTGGTGGAAAGCACTATTTTATTTTGAAAAGCTTTGTTTCAAGAATCCTATTAACGGTTTCTTTTCTCTTTCTTAGAAATTTAAGATCCGAATTGAAGATCCACCTCGTCGGAAGCACATGGTGTTTTTGGGTGGCGCAGTTCTAGCAGACATCATGAAAGACAAAGACAACTTCTGGATGACCCGACAAGAATACCAAGAAAAGGGAGTGCGGGTGCTGGAGAAGCTTGGTGTGACTGTTCGATAAACCCCAAAGCTTGTTCCCGTCACATGTCTAAAGCTTTTTTCCTTTCATTGCCAATCTCAGAACTCACTCAGCTACATGCTATGGAAAGGCCTGTCTGTAGCCTTTTGACCCGAAGGTCAGGTTTTGTTCTGGTTTCTTGGGGTAGCTTTTTGTTAAATGTTTCTTAATGTGGCTAAATTTGACTATTAAATTTGACCACTTCCCTGCGAACAAAACGGAGCAAGAGCAGCCTGCCTACTTCATTGTTCCTTCCCAGTAGGCAATTGGGTAAATCTGGTAGGCTTTTTCTTCTGGGTTTGTTGCTGTAGTACTGCTAGCTTTTGTCTCTAGTTCACGAGGGGTTGTGTGCCTTTTTTAGCATAAGAAAACCTTTAAACGGGAGTTTTTGCTATTGGATCATTGTGGTTATCTTTGCATCTTTTTGCATCTCTCTACATTAGGATTATTTTTTTTCTTTCCTGCAATTAGGAAGTTTGATTAAACATTGTTAGAAACTAGTTTAACTAGCTGGAATGGCTTTAACACACTGTTTTGATGTAATGTGGTTCTATAAGCACTGCTGCCTAAGCTGGCTTCTGAGGTGGTTTGTCCTTAAGGGGGGAGTGGCTTTCATACTGTATTTCTCTAAGTGGGCATGTACACAGTTGCCACAAATGGAGAAACACCTGATATTCTGGCAAATGTAAGTTTGTGGCCTTAGGGGTCTTTCTCTAGAGGGAGGAGACCGGTTTGAGCTGTGTTGCTTTTCTGTTAAGGAACAGTTGGGGGTCAGTCTGACCAAAAATGCCTCTTTTTGTAGCTAAATTTTGGTACTGTGTTGTCTTGGCACAGGGAGCAAGAACTTTAAATGAGCTATTCTGTAATGGTTGAGAAACTTAGATATGCTGAGACAGGAGCCTCTAAACTTCTGAAGAGATTGAATACTTTCAGAAATGCTTGTGAGAACTGTAGCTATAGATATTAAAACCCCGAAAACTAAGTTTGAGAAGTCTGATGTTTCAAGTGCTTGTATGTACATCAGAAGCACTTCCATTAAACTTTACAAGTATATTAACCTAGTGCCAAGTAGTTACTGCAAATGAATATTTCAGTGACCAGTGTTTGTTGCAACAAACAGATATTTATAAACAACCACTGGCAGTAGGTTATAAAGAATGACCTATATTTGTTCCGGTTAAAAATAACATTGGAATATGAGATGCTGTTGGTTGGTAAATATCCACAATTTGTTTTGTCCAGTCTTGATTTTTGATACTTAACCTGGGACGGGGAAGGAAGTGAAAACCAGTGATGAAAATGCTGTTTCCAAAAGTACATTAAAGCTGAGTTGTTCTGAAAAATAGAAGTTGTCATTAGTAATTATCAGCCATTTTCTCTGAGTATAGTTGCCTCTCTTTTCTTCCTGCTAGCAGACTGGTAACTATCTTTGCAGTAAAATCTGCCTTACATAAAGCATAGCAAAAACTGCTTGCATACAAATGCCGGTTGCACTTACTTCTGCTTTGCTTTCCATGGAAATACTGTATCACTTCTTACTGGTTTTCCAAGCCTACCATAACATTGAAGCATAAGGAAGATCTGCTTTTGACTTCCGAACCTTAGAATATACAAGAGATGCTTTCATATACTTGCCATTTGTCTGCATCTTTACAGTAATAATTGACCCCAGGAACATGGAAATATTAAAACTCCCTTGGATTGTTAAAATTTACTTTCTTTCTAAATGGAGCAGGCAGCTTCCTTTTGGCTGAGCAAGCCAAACAGGCAGAAACTATGTCTGCATTTCTTTAATAACAAGACAGTCACTATAGTATTGCTAGTAATGACCATTTAATTATAGGTGGGTGGGGTTTTTTGCAGCTATATTTACTCTTAACTTGAACAATATGAATTTACAGGCATGCCGGTCGTGCCTCGGTGCATGCACTTAAGCAGCTACTAGATTTTTGGGGACATGAATGTAAGGGGTACTCTGAATTCCTGTAGTCTTCGGAACGTTTAATACACAAGATTTTAAAATGCTGTGGGCTTGCTTTAGAGCTATGGTCTCTCATGTGACTGTCTGTGGGCTTTTCAGACAGTGTTGAGAATCATGGAAATAAACCAAAGAATGACTTACCCTTTTTGAATGACAATCTGTCATGTGATTTATCAAATCTAGACCTTGACCCTGCAGCCCCTTTTCTAAACCATCTTCTCCCCTGTTCGCTGGCTTCTGTTAGGTATGTGCATGTTTGAGTAAAGGTTTTGGAATTTGGCCCTTTCGCTAGAGAACTTCACAGCACCATGAGTAATAAATGTCAGTTGATTGTGCAGAATCCTGGGTTTCCATGGAAACCGTGTATATATGAAAAGAAGAAGAAGAAAAAAAAGGCAACTAGCATTTTAAATTACAACTATCATGGATCTGGAAGAACGCATACATAATCCAAATACTGAATGGGGTGTTCCAGTTGTGCTCAGTGTGGTTCTCCATGTGTGTGTTTGCACACACGAGAGTGTGTGTGTGTTCTCTCAGCTGACAGCTTCAATATTGCTATGAAAGCAATCTGGTTTTAAAGTGGTGTTTTTTGTTTTTTTTTTGAAGACCAAATAACTTGAGTTGTATTTGCAATATGCTTCAGCTCCTATAAAATTAGAATAGAAGATGCCGCATCAGTTGTAAGTTTTTTGGGAACATCCTATTTTTAATGTTAAGCTGCTTCAAACCCACCCCCCCCACCCCCACCCCCCAGTGTTCTAGGATGTTAACCAATGTAACACAAATGACTTTTTATACAGTTCTGAATAATGTTAACACACAACACTGGTTGATGGAAATAAACATCTATTTAAATTGACAGGTCTTTTCAATACAAAAATAAAATCGGATTTTTTTCAAAGTAGATTATGTTTGATTTGTTTCATTTGGGAAATCACAGTTCTGTCAGTTTTTCTCTAACTTAACTTCCATCACAAATCTATCATGAGCTGCTTATGCTGAGGAAATCTGACATGACAAAATAACACATTCCCTATTGATTGCTGTCATAGAGTGAGAAAAGCATCCCTACTCCATTCTCTAGCCAAGGCTCCGCTCTCTCCATCCTAGTTTCTTTAAAAAGAAAATAAAATCCTTATCCTTGGACAGGAACCTTTTCCAGCTCAAGCTCCATGCTCGGTACTGCACAGTGGGAAGAGCCCTCAGTGTGTATTGACTCCAGCATCCCTGGCTGAGCTCCGAAGCCGTTAATGATGCTCTGTTTAGGCATCGTGACCTCGTGTGCTACTTTACCTGCAGCCCTCCTTTTACCTGACAGGGGAACTGCACGAGGGGGGTTAGCATGTAGCACTTAGATGCACGGGGTTTGAAGCAGTTCTTGCACCTGAGATTTTGTAATTCTCAACTGGCTGGGTGGATTAGTGCCTGGCCCACTAATCACGACGCATTTATCTGGCTTTTGAAACTAGCTCAGGCAGCCTCTTCGCCGCCGCTCGCTGTACATGCTGTTCTGTATGTGTGCTCCCCAGGCATCATGTTCCCCAGTATGGTTTTGGTTTTCTTAGAGTGAACTACTATGTGCCATTTGGCTCTGGGTGCATCTGTCTCAGGGGCTAGGTCAGATACAGGTGGGCAGGATTTTAACAGAAAAAAAAAAAAAAGCCTCCAAACCCCAAATCTTTATTCCATCACTGCGCGTTCTTAGAGGGGGGGGAAAAAAGAATAAATTGGGCTTTACCTCTGCTCAGTAATAGTTCGTGTTCCTTACTCCTCCCCTTTGGCTTGCTTTGCCTGACATGGCTTTTGTGTGGGAAGGACTAAATACAGCTCAGTCGACATTCGCTAGTCAACTTTTTCAATAGTGCGTTCCTCCCTGCAGGCACTTCATCTGTTTTCCACAAACAAGCTTCATTAGCTGTTTCAATACTGTGAAAAACTGAGTTGTTTTTGGTTTTGTTGGTGGTGGTGTGCCCCTTTTTTTTTTTTTTTTTTTTTTTTTTTTAAATCCAACTATATCTCTTCTAGCAACCAGGAGAATGATGGTAGGAAAAATTGTTTTGGACCTTTTCAGCAAGTACTAAAATATAAACTAAAGTTTTGCTTTATTTGAGCCCTGCCGTGTGATACTTGTTCCTCTCTAATGGATTAGTTCGTGGTCCTGGTGGTGTAAGTCACTGTCACTTTGCCATTATAGGCCTCAAGAAAAAAAATAATCTTCCGTTCAGAATAAGTAGGCTGCTTATTTTGCCTCGTACCTTCTCTGCATTACAACATTAAGATCAGCTTTAAGTAACATCTTTCAGGTAAATAGCTTTACCTTTTTGCAACCTGTTGTTGCAGCCTATTGTGCCAGCTAACAACTGCACAAAACAAGATTGCAGTGCGCATCTGCTTATCACCCAGGCAGCTGGAAAAGGGCTCCTTGCCCGCCTCGTGCTGAGTTCTGCTCGGGTGCTGCTGAAATGAGAAGTTCAGGGAGGAGAGGAAGTGTGGGGCTTTGCTTTTCCATTTCCACATCCCCCCCGCCCCTTTGAAAGCAATTCCTTAACATGGAAGATTAGGGAAACAGTTCGTATTCTGGGTGATGAGTAAAGCATATTAAGAGTCTTAGCAGAGACTTGGGATGATGCTAAGGGGCATCTTCTAACTGCAGAACTTGTGTTCCTTCCCATACCTTTTTTTTAAAAAAAAAAAAAATCTGTTCCCCAAAGCCTAGGAATGGTAATTAAATTGTAGCTGCAGGAATAATGACAGATATGGGCCCCTTGCCTACACCTTTTCATCACCGCGCCCATCTCCCATCTGTTTTTTGTTTGCCCTAAAGCTTAAGTGGTTTCAAGATCCTCCTCTTGCATGCATGTTCTCACCATGTGCCCATTTAAAATCTCTCCAGGTATTTTAACGAATTAATTAATTGCCAGTTGCTGACCTCAACACAAGTACATCCTGTAAGTCCTGACTTGCATCAGGCGCTTTTCTTAGCACAGCAGTCCTGGGGGCTACTCCACATCTAAACCTTTGTGTTGTCCAATAACTTTGTGTTCTAAACCACTCCGTGTAACCCTGATGTTGGCTTTCCCTGCCAAAGCAGGAAAGACAAGGGTGCCATCAAGGACATGAAAGGCAGTATTTTGGGAAGCACCCAACCACATAATCTCCTTGGAATATTTTAGGGGTTTCCCACTGTAGTGGGTATCAACACTCCTTCAAACTACCAAGGAGCAAGTCCAGTAAGAGCAGGAGGGATTTATATTAGGACCTGTAATACTGGTAGATTGTCCCCTCTAAGAAAATCCTCTGGTAAAGGGGGTGCTAGGGCTTCCCATAGCATTACTGGCTAATAACCTGGAACACGAGCCTTTGAAACGTGGTCAGTGCTGGAATTCACACAGTGCCATGTGAAAACAAAACGCTGTAATGGTAATTGCTCATTATCCAATTATACAAGAACTTACAGCCCCAGAGGGCGAACAACTAATTAAATGGTTATCCGCTTTTAAAATGGCAACAAAGAAAGGAGGAATATTCATTCTTTTGGCTCTTGTTCCAGTACTGTCGGCGAAGTCACATGTTCCTCGAAAGGTGAATGAGGCAGTCCAGGGCTCTCCCCATCGTGATGCTCGGAATGCCGTGGGGTGTTAGAGAGGCAGGGAACTTGCTTTTAGGAGAGCAGACTGCTTACTCAAAAGCAAGCCAACTTTTGAGCCGCAGTGCAAACTTAAGGAGGACTCAGTGACCCAAGTCACCTGGGAAAGCAGCCAATGTTGGCCTTCAGAGCAGTATGGATCACCTTTTACATTTAAGGATTTGCTTGTGTAGAATTTTAAAGCTAATGTATCTGGAGCACTCGGTCCCTTGGTGTGGGTGCAATGCGCTGGGGCCAGGCCTTGGTTTTACCCCATGTTGGGGCATGCTGTTACCACCCAGGAAAAAAGCTGCCTGTCAAAAAAAAAAAACAGTGGCATTTCTCTGTATGATTAAAGGCCCTGCAGCTTTTCCACCAGCAGTAGTAGACCTCTGTAAAACTCTTATCCTAGAGCGCTGAATCCACCAACGATTAGCGCCCTAGGCTCTCATTTAACTTTCCAAAAAGTACCAGACAGCTTCTACGCATCTCGAGGCGTGTGTCTTCCTTCTGAGACCTCATTCCTGCCTCACAGCACTTGTACGCTATTGCCCCGCTTGCGAAAATACCAAGCACTTCACTGCTTAAACCAGGACCACCCCAGGTACAAGGCACGCGCCATACCTTTCGTACTGCTCTTGGCTGCTGTGGGCTGAAGGCAGGCAGTGAGCGTAGCTCGGCAGGTAGCCGCAGGCCAGCACGCTTCTCCTCTCCCCCCAGCGGTGCTCCAGCAAGAGCAACCAGTGCCGAGCTTCCGTGGGGTTTGGAAACGAAGTTGTTGCCCTGCCTGTCCTGCCTAGGAAACCCAATACTGCTCCCTAGGAGCTCACACCTGGGACGCAGCCCACAGCGGTTTAGAGCTGTTGGCTTTGGAGCGGGCTGCAAAGCCCAGATATCTACCCCACCAGAAAAGCCCCCTCGGGCATCACCACCAAACACAGAAAGCGGAATTGGTGCCCTTTCTAGACCCAGGGACTAATGATTTTTAAGCAAAAAAAGGCATAATTGCACCTGGGAATGAAGTTTCAGCAAGCACAGCGGCACCCAAGCAGTTTCTGGGAAGCAGCTGATGCGCTCTTGTCCACACTCTTGCAGTAACAGGGCTGTGCACATTTTTGGTTGCTGCTGATTACAGAGCTGTTAGCTGGATGTCTTCTATATTCAGGCTGTCTTTTTCCTCACTTTTCCCAAAAACATGGTGCAAGTTTCAGCTGTTAAGTGCGGGGGGGGGTGGTACTAACTTGAGAGGTAGGTCAGTCCCTTATAAATCGAAATGCTTGCTATTTTTGGAGGTTTTCTTAAGGAGTGGAGTAGGTCAGAAGGAAGTGACTTTTTTTTTTTTTTTTTTTTTTTTAATTTCCCATCCCCCCCCCCCGACATTGTAACACAGTTGTTGCTTTCAAGAATATGCATAGTCTGTTTTCTTCAGACTATTGGCTCGTCTGGTAAAATAATTAGCTGTTAGGCAGACAGAGGGAAAGGATCACATCTGCACAAGACAGGAAGACTGGGACAGTAGAAAGGGGATAAAAAAAAAAAAAAAATCCCTGCTTGAATCACAGCTGCCCACCATGCATAGTAACAGAGCTTGCCAAGAATATTCAAATTGATTTAGGGAAAAAAGCTGAGGAAACCATTTAACCCCAGCCTGCTTGGATCTGTGACAGTATCTCTATGGGCTGCTCCGCTCCCACTTTGGGCCGAAAGAAGGGTTTTCAAGCTGCATGTTTCACCAGCTATCTTTCCTCC